GAGAAAGGACGCCCAGTCATAGTCTGTGGCACCTTGGTCCCCTGTAGGTACCGCTGCAAGCGAGGAACCCTGTGGAGAATCGATCGATCATTCCCAATTCTGGGGAAGACCGTACCTGCATAGGAGAGAGTTAGAATCCAATAGTTCGGAATCTGGGGCCAGCTGAAAAGCGCCTGCCTGTCAAGGAACGCCGTCTTATCAGTTGAACCAAAGTAACCCTCATCTGGTGGCGAATCAGACACAACCCTGGCCATCCAAGGACGAGAGGCATGCGCGATAGCCGGACAGAAATTGAGAATAAGCTATAGAAGAACTAGTTGCTTCTCGGAGGTTTAGAAGAGCGTTTCACTGCATCCAGGTCGCATATCCTCAGGTACTAGTGGAGTTCGTAGCTAATATCGCAAGGGAAGGCAGTCTTAGACAGTCTTGATGATACCCTTTCAGCGAACCGAGGATCTATCATGGACAGGGACAGGACCCATATCGAGCCTCAATCCCTGATCGAACACCCCGATCTCAGCTGGATCTCAGAGACATCACTCTCATCCTTGCAGTTGGGGGCACTGATAGACGATCCTTTACGTAAATCCACATTGGGTATAGAGCCAAGCGCTCAGATAGCAGATCCTATTGACATGTTCACCGGATGAAATAGAGTTCGCATGGGATCGGAGATTTAACCGGACTGAGGGATGAGGGGAAGCCAATAGTTAGTTGAGCAATTAGTAAATCCATTGTCGATCTATCAAGTATGCTGTCATGCATTTGATTACATGAGAGATAAGCGGGCATAACTTGAATTTGGATGATGATAAGAGAAAAAGCAATTCCTCTGGGAAACCGTGGATACCGTGCATAACAGATAATGCAAAAATACCTTACTCAGCGCACATGTGATTACTGCATAGCTGTTATTCAGTCACCTGACTGTTATCGTATATGTGGCGGTGCATGCGGCTCATGCCAAGACTTATTGCGCCACAGACTCGCGACACAAAAAGTGCAAAGTCGAAAGTGAAGCCCAAGTCGGTCAATATCCGCCGTCTGCGATCCTCCCCTCTCATCTTCCCCAGACTCTCCCCGCTGGGTTTTTTTCTCTTTCCTTTATAATTTCTATTATCTGAGGGCCATCCCTAAGTCAGACATCATGGCTCCCATCTCTATCGCAGACATCGTCGCCGCTCTGCCGGCCGAAGACACCTGGGGCCCCGCTACCGCCAGCGACAACATGCTGCAGGGCGTCCCCTACGCTCCCTTCTCCAAGGGTGACAAGCTGGGCCGTATGGCTGACTGGACTGCCGAGTCCAAGGACCCTAACCGTGCCGGTCGCCAGGCCTACAACCGCAACTACAGAGGTATACCATTATCCTAATATATCAGCCAAGCCAAGACAAAGTAACTAACTCTGTTTTCCTCCAGACCAGCAAGTCTATGGTGCCGGTTCCTCTAGCCTCTTCGCCGTCCAGGTCGCCGAAGACGAATCCTCCTTCTCCGTTGTCGACAACACCCGCAGCTCCGCTAAGCGTACCTTCGGTCGTGGCGGTGGTACCGTCTTCCGTGGCCGCGCCCAGCGCGGTGGTGCTCAGCGCGGTGGTCGCGCCGGCTTCCAGCGCGTGGGTGCTGGCCGTGGCCAGGGTGGTGACCGCTACTACGACAACCGCTCTGGCGGCCGTGGCAACCGTGGCCGTCGCTTCGGCTGGAAGGACTACGACAAGCCCCAGCGCACCCGTGAGCCCTCGGTCAACGTCCGCCCCGACTGGAACATGCTGGAGGAGGTTGACTTCAGCCGTCTGTCCAAGCTGAACCTCGAGGCCCCCGAGGGTGAGGACGTCGACTCGTACGGTTTCCTCTACCACTACGACCGGTCCTACGACAAGGCCCCCGTCAAGAACGCCGAGCGCCGTCTCCAGTCCCTCGACCGTGCCGCCTACAACGTCACCACCACCCAGGACCCCGTCATCCAGGAATTGGCCGAGAAGAACGAGGCCACCATCTTCGCCACCTCGGACATCCTGTCCATGCTCATGTGCGCCCCCCGCAGTGTCTACTCTTGGGACATTGTTATCGTTCACCAGGGCAACAAGATCTACTTCGACAAGCGCGAAGGCGCCTCCCTGGACCTGGTCACCGTCAACGAGAACGCCGCCGACGCTCCCCTTGAGCTGGCCGACTCCGCCAACAAGCAGGATGCCATCAACACCCCCAGCGCCCTGGCCATGGAGGCCACCTTCATCAACCACAACTTCGCCCTGCAGACCGTCGTCGAGTCCGAGGACAGCAAGGTCTCCCTGGCTCACCCCAACCCCTTCTACAACGCCGCCGAGGAGACCGAGCCCCTCGCCTCCAAGGCCTACAAGTACCGCCGCTTCGACCTGTCCCTGGAGCGCGACGACGAGCCCGTCAACATGATCGTCCGTACCGAGGTCGACGCCCTCATGAAGAACCCCGTCAACGGCGAGGACCAGCAGCTGCTCGTCAAGGCCCTCAACGAGTTCGACAGCAAGGCCCAGGGCTCCGGTGGCGCTCTCGACTGGCGCAGCAAGCTCTGGTCTCAGCGTGGTGCCGTTGTCGCTACCGAGATGAAGAACAACAGCGTCAAGCTCGCCCGCTGGACCACCCAGGCCATCCTCGCCAAGGCTGACGGCATGAAGCTGGGTTTCGTCTCCCGTGCTAACCCCCGCTCTGCCGCTGGCCACGTCGTTCTCGGTGTTGTCGGCTACAAGCCCCGTGATCTGGCTGCCCAGATGAACCTGAACCTCAGCAACGGTTGGGGTATCGTCCGTACTATTGTTGACCGTATCCGTGCCCTCGATGCCGATGAGGATGAGGACAAGGTCACCAAGTACGTCCTTATCAAGGACCCCAACCGTCCTGTGCTGCGTCTGTACAGCGTCCCTGCTACCACCTTTGACGAGGAAGAGGAGGTCGCTGGTGAGGAGCAGGAGGGTGCTGAGGAGGAGGCTGATGAGTAAACGGAAGCCACGTTATGATCTTATCTTCTTCTATCTCATGTGCATATTGGTTGTCCTTGCTTTCAAAAGTTAGTTACGAACGACGTCTCAACATAGAGTTTGTCCATTATGTTCTACAGATTATAATTCAATCGCACGACGCACGCAGTCCAGTAGATTTCTACATCACTATCTACCTTGCAGTCACGTAAAGCAGACATTAAGTAGTAGATTCACACAAGCAAACTATAAGTAAACTACAAGTGGAATAATTACGCAACAATTCGCATTCTCGCCCCTATCCATCCCAAATACAACCGTATGTGGATGGACTCAGTAATATGTCATGAATAAGGAGCATATTTACAGTCCCTTCAAAGCATTGAATAATTCTACAATATTTCACAGCATACCATCTCCACAACAATATACTCGTATTCCAAACAACTCCCCCAATCTAACCCTAACATCCATCCTCATCCTCCACAACTACTTTACAATCTCATCTCCCTTCCCCTCCACCACCAATCATATTCACAAATTCCTCCCAAAAAACCCCTCAATCCTCTCCCACGGAATCAACTCCACACGATCATACAAATCAACATGCCCAGCCCCAGGCACCCACAACAACTCCTTCGGCTCACTAGCCCCCCTATACGCATTCTCACTAAACTCCCTCGAATGGGCCTGATCCCCGGAAATAAACAGCACAGGTCTAGGCGCAATGACATCCAAATCCTCGAGGGGATAAAAGTTCATGAACTTCAAGCTGCTCGTCACCGTCGGATGCGTCGTCAACTCCGGGGTCGAACCCAGCGGCGTAAACTCGCCACGCACCGTGCGGTAGAAGTCATAGAACTCGCGATCCACGGCACTAGCATTAGCCGTAAGGGTGTTCGGCGTACCGCTAGTATATCCAATGGGATTGGTCGCTCCGCCAGGGTGCTCGTACTCAGGCCAGCGCTGCAGCGCGGCGGAGGCAATTACTTCCTGACGCTGGGTGAGGTTCTGCGAGTGGCGCAGACCCTGGCGGCTGACGGTGCCCATGTCGTACATGCTGGCGGTGACGATGGCTTTGATGCGCGGGTCGATTTTGGCCGCGCTGAGAGCGAAGCCTCCGCTGGCGCAGATGCCGATGACGCCGATGCGGTTGCGGTTGATGGTTATGGGGTAGGGGATGGAGGGGATGGTGGTGATGGTGGTGGTGTTGCTGCCCAGGTAGTCGACTGCGGCGCTGAAGGCTTCGGTGTAGAGGTCGGGTGAGACGGCGTTGCGAGGAGTGCCGGTGCTGCTGCCCCAGAAGGGGAGGTCGATGGACAGGGTGATGTAGCCGCGTTCGGCCATTTTGGTGGCGTATAGGTTGGCGGATTGCTCTTTTACGGCGCCCATGGGGTGGCCGACGATGATGGCGGGGGATGGGGTGGAGGTGGTGAGGTTGTTGGGGATGAAGAGGTTGCCGGCGATGAGGGTTTGGTATTGCGTTGGGAAGGTCACTGGTTGGAGGGTTACCAGGTTACTTCGGTAGAAGTTGTCGGCCCCGTAGGAGAGGTTTTGCGCGGTGGTGCATATTGTATGCAGGATTGGGGCGAGGAGGAGTGCTGGGAGTTTCATGGTGATGCAGAAGCTGAGAGTGGCTTTGAGGGTTTGGTTTGGTAGTTGGATGGTTGTGTTGATTTGTGTTTCTTAAAGTAGGTGAGTACATGGCTTTTATAGCCATTGTCTCTGCAATATCGTGATATCTCGTTGCGTGATTGTGATATTCGTCAGGGGCATTGTCATGTCTGGATGGAGTTGAGAAGTAGATCACTTCTGGGCCTCGTCATGCTAATGCGACTTGCTTACTGTGGGGCGTAAGCTACCCACTGCAACGGTTTGATATGGTTGGTTATTGTCTGGAAGTCTTTAGAATGTATTAATGTCTGATCCATGCTACATTTATCCATGGACACCACAGCTTCCCCACTTCGCAAGCACATAAAGGCATCCCCCGATTGTCCTTCTCTTCCGTCTTCCAAGACAACCAACGGACATCTATCCTCTTTCATCATGCCGCCCTACGTACACACTGGCCCAGTCGACTGCTCCCAGGACGCAGACTGCAGCTCCTTGGCGGGCAAAACCGCCATCGTCACAGGCGGTGCCAACGGCCTTGGTGAAGCCTATGTCCGCGCTCTCGTCGCAGCCGGGTATGTCTCTCGCCTCTTCCTTTCTTCACAGCTAATCCAGGCTCAATCACAGCGTCTACGTCTGTATCGGTGACATCGACACACAGAAAGGGCAGAAACTCGAAGCCGAGCTACCAGGGTAAGTCCTTCCTCCCAGTACTACCCATCCTACTCTAACCCACCCAAAGAACCAAATTCATCCCCTGTTCAACCGGCACCTGGACCGACCAAGTCCGCCTATTCGAAGCAGCAATCACCTTCTCCCCAACCAACCGGATCCACTACGTGGTTGCAAACGCCGGCATCCACCGCGTAGATGAAATCTTCCAGCCAGGACCGGACTCCCTCCCCGAACCAGACCTAAGCATCATCGACATCAACATCAAAGGTCCTCTCTACACAGCCAAACTAGCCATGCACCACTTCATCCGCCAGAATGGAACCACACCCACTCCAGAGCAAGAAGATACCTGCCTGATCCTCATCGGCTCTGGCGCGGCGTTCCTCGACGTGCCACGCTCGCCGCAGTACTGTGCCAGTAAGTGGGCGATGCGGGGAATCATGCATTCCCTGCGTCGGACGGCATATTACTACGGGTCCCGAATCAATGTGATTAGCCCGTGGTATGTGCACACTGGGATTTTGTCCGAGGAGGCATTTGCACACTGTAAGCGGGCCGGGGTGGAATTTGCCACAGCGGAGGATGCAGGGCGCTGCTTGTTGAGTATCCTGGCAGATGGGAGGGTTAATGGTCATTCGTTCTTTGTGACGGCTCGGAAGTGGGCGGAGAAGGGGTTCATGGATTTGGACTTGGAGGATTTCGGGGATGATGCGTTGCTGGCAGAGGTGCAGGAAATGCAGATTTGCAGTGCCCCGGTGGAGGCAGGGTTGTTTGTGTAGTTCGGTAGATTGTCGGCAGTTATTGAATATACGATGTTTGGCATTCATCATTCACAATAATCGTATGGAACCATAATTGAGGCCGAGGCCGGAGATAGCATCAACCAGAATTGGTATCCTTCCATGGTTAAGGGTCTAGCTCCATAGCATTCCGGATGGTGATTGATGGATTGGTGAAGAGCGGGTCTGGCTTGGCGTAAGCAAGATGCATTAGTGCCGGATAGCAGCCAAGTTTATCTTCTTCCGCTGTCTGTGTTTGTGTCTCTCACAACTTCTTCATCCAGGGTGTGTCTTCTAGAATGACTTGGAATTTCAGGCAACATTGTTTTGTCAGGCTAGCACTGCCCATGCGATGTCCCAATTGATCTTGGCACGCTTGGCTGAATACACATCCACGCAACACATTCGTCCTTCTCTCTCTCAACTATGCTGTCGACATCATCACGATCTGCATCCGGATGCTGGTTCGAGTCGGATGATTACAAATGTCCCTTATGTGGCAGTGCATCATGAGCTCTGATGGGTGCTGCTTATGGCGGTGGAGTTCTGGCTTACTGGACTGACCTCAGTTCGGATCGTGCGTCGGAGATAGCAGCTTAGCCTCTACTATCTATCTATTGCGAGGATGAGTATTCTGTTGCCTAGATATGATGTGTATAGCCCATTACGATGTTTATGTCTGTGTGTTTACTGGTAGGGTTCTTCATTATGGAGTATATATACGGATCATGAAAGAAGCAGCGCATCATGGGCGGCTTAATATATTCGATCTGCATCGAAGTACAAAGCTGCCATGAGGATCTTCTGTGATGTTCTTTCGGTGGTGTGCACATTCAGTTTAATTCGAAATGTTCTAGGTATGACATGTATTTAACCCTACTAGTGAGAATCATCCTTACATTACTAGGCCATTCGGTTCGAAACCCAGCCACAGAATATGCAGCCCGACTCGAGCAGGTCGTGATTCACCCCCAATCCCGGACTACTTCGGTCAAGGGCCAACTGGACATTACTATAGGGGTTCCTGGACATGGTGGCCCGGTGCGGCTGCAATTGGAACCGAACCGGGATATTCTTGCCCCAGATACTTATATCGAGTATCTGAACGGCACGGAACCCCAATCACTCGATCGAGACAGGGAAAGAGTGTTTCGGGGCGACGTCCTGGTAAATTCTTCCAGCACTGCATGGCATCCGGCAGGACGAGCACGCATATATCTCATCCAGGATGGGACAAGCCCGCTGTTCGACGGAGCCTTCACGCTGTTCGATCAACAATATCACATCAACCTGATCACGCAGTCCAATTCCTCCTATCCGCACATGGAAATCAGCACATCTGGCGATACTATAAGCACACTGTCTCAGAACACAGTCTTCCCCCGCCAATCCACCCAAGACAACACATGCTCCCGGCCCCGGCGAGTCGCTCTGATCGGTCTCGCCACAGATTGTTCCTACCGCGCCGTATACTCATCCACAGATGAGCTCCGCCGAGGACTAATCAGCATGGTGAACACCGCATCAGAAGTCTACGAGAGGACATGGAACATCTCGCTCGCCATCCGCAACATCACCATCAGCGACGAGACATGTCCCGACACACCCCAGCGAGACACCCCATGGAATGTCGACTGCTCCAGTGGGAACCTGGACTGGCGACTCCAGCAGTTTGCCTCATGGCGACGCTGGCATTATGACCCCAATGCGTACTGGACCCTGATGACCAACTGTCCCACCGGGAATGTGGTGGGTGTGTCCATCGTGGGAGGGCTCTGCACGACTTACTCCGGGGCAAATGTAGTGGCGCGGACTTCCAATCAGTGGCAGGTTTTTGCGTAAGTCCTTTTGACCGATCCTACTTTTTGAACCATACTGATTATGTTATATGGGTGTAGCCACGAATCCGGCCACATGTTCGGCGCAACCCATGACTGCGACTCTCAAACCTGCTCCACTTCGAATGGGGATTGCTGCCCCTTGTCTTCGAGCTCTTGCGACGCCGGCGGACAGTATATCATGAACCCATCTTCCACGTCCTATCAGACGTCCTTTTCGCCCTGCACTGTTGGACAAGTGTGCTCCTTGCTTCGCTCTGGCAGGGTAGAAGATGACTGCCTTGTGCACAGTAATGATACCGGACCCACGATCAGTGGTCCAAGTACCCCTGCTGGTGAGTGCGGTAATGGCATTGTCGAGGACGGCGAGGAGTGCGATTGCGGTGAGAACTGCGCGGACAATTCCAATTCCTGCTGCGTTAACTGCCGGTTGGTAAATGGCTCGCAATGCGAAACTGGCAGTGGCCGTTGCCAAGGTGGACGCTGCGAAGGTAGTGAAGATCGCCGTCCGTTAGGAGGATATGAACCGCTGGTTATTGGACTGGCTGCTGGTATAGGAGGGGGGTTGCTTCTTGGGATAGTCATTGCTATTGTGTGGCGCTGTTGTTGTGGGAGGAGAAGAGTGAATAAACAGGACGAGCCTCCTCTCTCTAGAGAAGTCAATAATCATATATACCGATAGTTACACAGCTATGTGTATGGAACAAAATAAGTAGACTTTTAGTGCTTCTAAGTTTCCGGGTTCGAACAAATAATCGCCACAACTATCAATCCCGATCCATGAAAACGAAAGCCCCACCGTCCCAGGCTTATCTATCAGAATAACATTTCCAGATTTCAGCCTAGAAATTAACGTTCAGACCGAAGAATCACCGTTCCCCGAGTGGGTCAACTACTGGTAGACTAGCCCTGCATAAATAAGCCTGCAGCTCCGCCGTGTCAGCAACTTGCATCCACCAATAACCAATCTAACCCACATTATGTCTCGACACGAACCACCACTCCAAATGGATCCGATAGCTCCTACATCATCAACATCAAACACTGTGACGCTCCGGCCGATGCCTCAGCTAGAACATCTCTGGACGTCTGAAGATGATTGGACGGGGGTCAGCGATCGAATCCACCGTCGTCGGCTGCAGAATCGGTTGAATCAACGGGCTTATCGTATGTTTTCCTCCGACACAAGTGTTGGTTATTAATCTGACCATATCAACCAGGCAAGAAACATAAAGCCACTACGGGGGATTCCTCCTCATCTACATCCTCATCCACCACTCAAACCCAAACCCTAATTCCCCATCCCTCCACCACAATTCACCACCACTCCACATCATCCCCATCAACATCCCCATCAAACAAAGCTGCAGCAGCAGCAGCAGCAGAAGAAGAAGATAATCACCACTGCCCCCTCGCCCCCACCAACATCAACATCCCCGACCTCCGCAAAACCCTCACCACCCTAGCCATCCAAAGCTACCTAACCAACAGCCCCCGACTCGAACACCTGCTCAGTCTCTCCCGGCTCAACGTCCACCGAGCTATCAACGACAACATCCGCTTACTGGGCATGACACCCGCTCACCTGCGACCCGACGACGCCCTCTCAATCTTCAACACCAACACCCAATCCCCCATCGATATCTCCACCCTCCCGGAAAGTCTCCGCCCCACGCCCCTCCAACGCCTCATCCCGCACCACCCCTGGCTGGACTTCTTCCCGTTCCCCGAGATGCGAGACCGATTGATTGTCGCGGCTGCGACGGGCTACCTGGATGAGGACGAGCTGTGTCGGGATCTCATGGCGTTTTGGGATACCCGGAACTCGGGGGCGACGTTGGTGGTGTGGGGCGTGCCGTGGGATCCGTGCAATTGGGAGGTCACCGAGGCGTTTTTGAGGAAGTGGAGGTGGGTGGTGCTGGGGTTGGGGGGGTTGAGGAGGAGTACGGATTATTGGAGGGGGAGGAGGGGGGAGGGAAGGTTGGTTTTTTGATAGCATAGCATAGCATAGCATGCTGGGTTGATATCAGTAATGGATGAGTTGGTAGACTAGGGTGTGATGAAAATCAAGGGGAGTTGGGTGGAATGAAGTATACTATTGTGAAAGTAGAAGGTATATACCTTAAAAGGAGAATATGACACATTATTGACTCCCTCCACATACCATGTCCATGTCACCACATTCCATTCCTACATACTACCAACTTAACTACGAATAAAAATTAAAGTTGTAGTTTGACATCTTCACCAAATCCCAACAACAACTGTCATAATACACCAACCTCACACACACACACCATACTAAATACAATAATCAGAAATCAATTCCAAACCAACATTTTTGAACCAATTACATAATTACTACAAATAATTCAATACACTCAAGACACCTCATTCAATCATTATTACTATAACCCATCCAGTAACCAAAGCCACACCACACCACGCCACCAAACCAAACCAAACAAGGTTAGATTACTCATTCCCGTCCATTAATTAACTAGTTAACTAACCCACTAAATTCTAATCATCTAATCCACCTCCAACAATCACTTCCCTACTTACTTCACCACCCACTTCCAAACAAAAGAAACCAAATAACAAACATGCCCACCCCCAAATCCCGCCCAACGGCATCGTGCCTCCCGTGCCGAACCCGAAAAGTCAAGGTAAATCCATCCCCTTTACCCCCCACCCCCAAAACCTCAATTACATCCAATCTAAAAAAGGTGACAGTGCAACCGCCTCCAACCATGCGAAACATGCAGTGCGCGGAACATTGCGCACGAATGTAAATACGCTGTGCCGGATGAGGATAGGCAGGCGATTGCGCAAGCGGAGATGATTGCGGAGTTGAGGGGGGAGGTGAATCGGCTACGACAGCAGATTAATGATCATGAATACTATGAATATGATCATGAACATAATCATGAGAATCATGAGGATTTAATGGGTGAGGGTAATGTGTTAGAGGACGGGGGTTTACTGATTGAGAGATTGGAAAATGGGGAGAGTTTGGGAGAAGAGGAGGATGATGAGTTGGAGAGGGTGTGGAGGGTGTTGAGGGATGGGGAGTGGGAGAGGGTGAGGGAGGTGGTGGGGAGGATTAGAGGTACTACTACTATTTCTGTGTAATTATTATGTTATGTTTTATGTTTATTGTGGGATTGTAGATATATGGTGGGTTGGTGTGTATGTATGTATTATTGGTAGTAGCATCGTGGTTCTCGTGATTATTGATTAGGGTGGTATAGCTTAAATCAACTGGGCAAGATCCAACACTGATAGAAAAGGAAAGAAGAAGACACTCAGAATTAACAAGTTGTATGGCCAGTGCGCTCTGGCGGCTAAACCCCACAGGAAGAAGAGAATCAGAAGAAGAGAATCAGAAGAAAAGAACAGCCTTGCTCCCAGAGCTTTTATATACACCTCGCCCAAAGCAAACCTTGTTAGAACAGTACCCAAACCCAAATAATCACCTCATTAACTCCATCCAGATCGCCCACTTCTGCCGGATCAACTCACTCCGCCAGATCAGCTCCCACCAGATCAATTCACGAATACATCATCTCATCGCCAGGATGGGAAAGGGCGCCCTCGACCTTGGCTCCGAGAACACTGCTCAGGCAGTCCATCAATTCGAAATCTTCCACCACCGCGCCAAAGCCGTAGCAGCGCACTTTGGTGTTCAGCGTCTCGATGATCACTTTGACGTCATCCTTGGTCAGGCTGCGGTAGAGCTCGTGGTTCTTCAAACACTGCAGCGCCATGATAGGCGTGATCTGTCCGTCCGTCACGAGCTGCCGACTGAGGTTGAGAAGGGTCGACAGATTGGCGTGAGGGAGGTCGTAGGTCTTGTGCGGATAAGTCTGTTCATTCGAGGTGGTGGCGATGTAACTGGGCGGCGGGCAGGTCGCCATCAAGGCATGACCCGAGAATGGCATGTCCTCGTCATCGGCTTCCGTGATCGATCGGCGGCAGAGATAGTCGGTATGTTCGCGACACGGCGATTCCAATCTAGACAGCAGTCAGTCATACAATCCTCCGGTAGACAAAGAGTTGGTGGGCGTACGTCAAGATAAAGTCAATCTGCAGCTGGGGGTGCTCCTCAAAGATGCCCGATGGGTGCCTTGGTGCCCGGCTCACCGGCGCGATCTGGTCGAGCGTCGCGAGGGCGTCACACGGGGCGGCCTGATACGGCCCTTGCGGTGGTGACATCTCGCTCGACGACACATCAATCTGCTCGATCCCCGTGGTGATCGGACTCAAGCTTGCGGAGACGGTGGTCGGTGGTGTGGTGTACATGTTGTTCGTCGAGGGATTGGAAGGAGCAACGCCGGTGGGCTGCGATCCCGTGCTACTGCTGGCAAATGGGCTAGACTGATAGCCGATCGTGGGTCGTTCAGCCTTGCGCCGCTCGAGCTCGGGTTCGTAGTTGATGCCATGGGCCGTGAGGATGTCTTTCAGGATGGTGTTCTCGTCCGATAGCGACTGCACCATATCCCGGTGTTGAACCACCGTCAAGTTGGCCGCCGAAATCTCCTGTGTGTATGCCTCTCGCAACCGCGACACCTCCGTTTCCAACGCCCGTATATATTGTTCCTTGCGCTCGCGATGAGTTCTAAACAGTCGTTGGCATCTGTTCCTAGATAAAATGCAGAGACGGGAGAGCCACGTACCTCTGAGCCTGGCGATTCAATTCCTGTCGTCTGGTAAGGGCGGGTTTGCTGTCGGGTTTGGGACCACGTCGTTTGGCCGGTTGACCATCTAGAAGGGGATCGGTTACAACGAGTGCGGACAAGAGAGAACACAGAGTAGTACAAACCTCGAGTAACCTTCTTCTGTGTGCCGCTGAAGAACTTGAAAAAGTCGGCCCCGATTGTCGAGGGTCTGGAATTGGGTTGGCCTGCATGCAGTGTCAGAGCGGACAATTGACGGGATCCTGTCCGCGCAAAGCGATGCAAGACATAACAAGCAACAGAATATCACGAAATGAGGAAAGACATGTAGGTACAGCACATCACGTCATACAACATGCAGGCAGTGCAGATGACAGAATCAAGAAACGGTATGTTACGAGCGAACGGTGCCGACTGCAGCCTTTCCCCCATCCGGGATGCTCTGTGTATCCAACACACATATTCCCCAGAAAAATAAAGAAATGAAATGAAAACGGGCGCCAATCGTATCACCACAGGTATACAAGCAATGCGAGGTCTCCAGGGCAAAGGAAGCCGGGAACTTACTTGGCATAGCCTCTGGTGTCATGGTTTGGCGATTGCCCGCACTCAGGTCCACAGACATCGGACCACCATTTATGGAAGTCATGATGGCTGTGATGAGGTAGAAAGAGGGTGATTGGGAGAAATGCGACCGGCGCGATCAGAAGATGGCCGACGGAGGACACCGACGAAGCGGAGGACGGAGGCGGGAAGAATGAGGGGAAGCGAAGAGAGAGAGAGAGAGAGAGAGAGAGAGAGAGAGAGAGAAAGGATTCGATGGGACTAGACGGTGGAGGAAGAGGAACCGACAGCAGATTAAATGAAAGCGAGATTCATTCAATCAATCAATCAATCAATCTGGACCGTTGTCAGCCTTAAAATGGATTTTGATTTGGTAGTCAAGTGGATTCCTCTATATTTTTTTTCCAGTCCAAGCGTCTTTCACCGTTAGGGAACAAGATATACGCACCGGCAGGGTCGGACGTTTTCCCCGAAAGTGCGCGGCCGATGGAGACCTGAGTTTGGGGGGGGGGGGGGGGAGAGAGGGGGGGGAGGGAGCCACCACACGAGCTCTGGACCAGGGGAAAAGGAGAGATCTGAATGGAGCAGATGGGAAATAGGCTGGCGGGGGTGGAAAAACGGTCAGGCAATAATATTGATTAATTGATTAATTGAAAGGTTTGCCCGGTTGCCCGTTTACCGTCCGTGGGTTCAAAGGTGGATAAATGTATAAGTTAAGTTTGGTATGTTGATTTGTGGTTTCTTGGTAGTGGTAGTGGTAGTAGGTAAGTAAGGTCAGGTAGGAGAGAGGAGAAAGTGGGTGCGGCGGGAGTGTGGTGGGCGGGAGTTGACGGATGGATTGGATGGAAGTATGGGGTGTGTCAGAAAAGGGCGAGTTTCAGTTGAGACTTGAAGCTGCAGGTTGAAAGGGGGGGAGAGATGGTGGAGGAAGAAAAAGAGTAGATAGATAGATAGATAGATAGATAGTATGAGGGTAAGTGGAGAGAGTGTGAGAGGGAGAGGGAGGGAAGAAGTGAGAGGAAGAAGAGGAAAGAGGAAGAAGAGGGAAAAAGAAGAAAGAGACAGAATAATACTCTTGTGGCAAGTCAGTGAAAGAGAGAGAGTGTGTGTGAGAAAAAGAGTGAAAAGAGAAGAGTGAGTGAGTGAGTAAGTGAGTGAGTGAGTGGACACCCACTACTGTCCTGGATAGTCGACTAGTTTCGGTTTTGGATGAATGGAGAGCGACGATAGTCAGTAGTAAGTAAGTATCGACTCGTTCGGGACCCGAAGTTAACTTGGTCATCCGTAGGCGAGCCGGCGTTATATCGACGGGGGAGACCCTGTCAAGCCTTCTAGCGGTCCCGAGCATTATTGGCTCGTTGCGTGCATCTCCCCTTCCCTTTTTTCTTCACGGACCCAGCAGAGACACCCCCCCCCCAGCGGTCGGCGCAAAGGCCAGGCACACGGCGTTAGTTTAGTTAATTACAGTCTAGTAGTAGCAACATCAACTTAGTAGTGGTTGGTGCCTGCCATGCACCCGGGGCGTCCACTAGTAGTCACAATAGATCCAGGCACAGATTTTAATTGGAATTGTACAGGAGGGAAGGGAACGGATTGGTCCGTGACAGAATTGATCAGATCATAAATTTGCAGAATCTTAAAAAGAAATAAAAAAGAAAATCCAATTTGAATAAATGAATAAATGTGATAACCAAGAAGAAAATCAAATAATTATCGACCATGATTATTAATTGTTGAAAAATAAAATAAATACAGCATACAGCATACAGAGATCAAAAGGAATTAAACTTCACAGTAGAAAGGGGAATGGTCGAAAGAATAAATTATAATCATAATAATTATTATCATACCCCAAAAATGCCCATCCAGAGAGAGAGAGAGAGAGAGAGAGAGAGCGAGCGACAGAAGCAGTGCAGAGGGGAGAAAAATAAAAAGAAAAAGAGGTCAGAAAATAAGAGACAGATAGAGAGAGAGAGAGACAGCAAAGAGGGTGGTGTACCTTACAGTTCACACATTCCCCGGCCCGTTTCAGACTAGTGCAGCTTCTCCCTCCCTCCATCTCTCTTCTCTCTTTCTCTCTCTCTCGCCTCTGGCTGTCCCGATCTCGCCTCGGCTTTAGTATTTAGTATTAGTAGTACTACGGCTAATGTAGTACTCGATGGGCTACACAACCAGCTTAACCTTACTGCACTATACTCTCTCTCCATCCCTCTCACACACAAAAACATTACATAAGTGAGAAACCAGATAACTAATGAGTGATCATTCAATTATTCACTATTCGTGTTCCTGTCAAAGAACTCAAGAGGATGAGAAGCAAAGCATCTGCCTGTGTGGAGTGAAGCAACAACTACTACTAACCGGGTGTGATCGGCCAGGCATCCAGTCACTCGGCGGTTATTGGCTATTGGTTTTTTCTTTTTTATCCTCCTCTGAATCGTCGTCGCCCCTCACGTCTGCCTGTCTCTGCTGGCCTCTCCCCCCTCCGAGTAATTGTGAATTGGGATCCTCGCTGCATCGTCAATAATCAATCGTGCTACTACTTCCGTACTCATCATCCTCCTCATCATCGTCACTAAATCCGCGGCAATGGTTCGTCTCTCTGCTATCCGGATCCATCAGGTGCTACTGTAAGTGGTTTTAATATTACCTCTATTATTTTTTACTTGCTCCTTTTTTTTTTTTATTTTTTATACATTCTTCTCCCATTCTACCTCAGTCCTAGCCTCATGCACTCAGAGGATCAGAGGGACGCAAGTCAGAAAATGGAGTGATTAAAAAAGGAGATGGAAAGAAATAAAAGAAAAAGTGCTCACGAATCTGATATATGGCGCATCTCTTTCGCCCGGCGGTTCGATCGATCGTCCCCCCGGCTGTCGTACCAGAAACCATTCTTACCTGTCGCCTGTCGCCCGGTAGTAGTGCTCCGTCAGCCTCCGTGGACCACTTCCACCACCACCCCCCAAAAAAGTCCTGCCTTCCCACCTTTGCCATCCCTCAACTGACATCTCAGAATAGAGGCAGGCGCCGTGTGTAACATTGTTGACTTAATTTCGCTGCGACCCGGACCGATGGGTTGGGGAAAACAGGTTCTCCTTGGTTGATCTACCGTCGAGCCTGTCCCTTTTTGCTTTTTTTTTTCTCTTCTTTTCTTTTTTTGCTCTCCCTCCACCTTCTGACCATCCACAGAATTCCCGTAGACACTGCATGATTCCTTTGAGGGGGTATTGATCCTACTCTGGGCTTAAGTTTCTTCGTTTGCAAACCCACAATCGTTTTTTTGGGGCCTGTCTGGTTCACCAGTCCGTGTTCAACGGGCCCATCAGCCCCACTGCCCACACAGAAGCCTCGGACTAGTCGCCTGGTCCAGGATAGCGCTATACGTTTATTATTCATTAGTGGCAGGCACAGGAAAATCTACTGTCCCCAACGCTCCGGCTGTGCTGCGTCATTAGGAATAAGCATGCGCGAGCTGCCGGGTTGCGAGGTGGTCAAGTGGACACTATCTCGGTGCGGTACCTACATCCGGAGCTTAGTGGATGATTGGATGTATGCACCTTCCTGCTCCTGCCGCGGTGGTTATTCCACTGTAAGGGGGGGAGGGAGAGGAGGCGAAGATGCCACTCGATCCCATCGTGATCGTGCCAGTCGGTCGACGTTTCGTCGCTCTTTGCCCGGACAGGTAAGCAGGTTGCGCGCTCGTTGATCAAGTGTCGGAGTTGCTTCATTGTACCTCATAACTACCGCGTTATTCCCGCATAAGACCTACAGATGGGATAGTGCACACACACACGCGCGCCCTGCAAATCGAGGTGATGTAACTGACCGGGATCGCCCCTTTCCGGGGGTCTCTTTGCTTTTTCTGTCCCTCTTTGTCTGCTGCAGGTTTCGTGAACATTGAATTCCTGGTCCCCGAGGGGTTCTCCCACCATGCTAGCCCATACGTAGTGCACAGAGCACCCCCCCAACCAACACCAAGGGTACTCCGTACTACCCATTGGGTAGTGCACGGTCATTTCTCTGAAGGCTGGAAGACACTCCCGGCCATTGGATAAACACGTTCGAATTAGAGTCAAAATGCCAGGTGGGTAGCGATGATGGTGGCTCGAAGCCTCGAACACCTTGGGTTGGAAAAGATAGATAGCTCGTCAATGGTATAGACTCTAATCGCCATTATTATCACATCACCCAAGATGTGGTCCTGGCACCCTTGAGCATGGCCACTATTCAATTGTCCACGATTATTGTCCCAATCCATCAATGATAAGCCGAGGCTAGGCGCACGACGACGATCACCGAACAGGATCACAAACCAAGATATTTGTAGTTAGCTTACCAACAGACCACGGGCCCAATTGAAATTAAAGACCGAATCATCGCCGACGAAGCTCCCCGAGAAGCCGGGTCAGATCGAGATTAGGGAGGATCTCAAGGGAGGACGAGGTTGAGCAGAGACCCGTCTGAGCTCAGTGAAGAGGAGAAGTTGTTTGGACGGCGCGGAAACTATCGAGCGGATCGGCAGCCTAAGGCCGCCAGTCCACCCAATCGGGATCGCGCCTCAGGCCGCCCTGACTCGTGATCTTCGATGCTTCCGCCTATCATGTGCTTTTCCCCTCTGCACTTTCTCCCCCTCTTGCCTTTACTGTCTATTGTTCTCTCTTTCAACTCCATCCTTCATCTAATCTAGGCTACTATAGTTCCCCTCTGCTCTCAGGGCAAAGGGCACTTTGTCCCGCCTAAACTGAAACGTCTGCACCGATAGTCAAGTGCCCCACCATGTCGGTCCAGGCTCTTTATCTACCTCCCCTCCGATGCCATGCAACAATCCGAAGTGCTCGTCCACATCTCCGCCCCCAGCACCGTGGCCGATGATGCCAGCTACCGCGCTCAAGTCGAAGCGATCCTCGCTTTTCAACCTTTCTCTCGTCAGCTCATAACCTTACGATCTTATGACAGCGAAGCCATCCCCGCTGTAACGGAAGCCGGTCCCTCCTATACCCAGGAAGAACACAATGCCAGCTCTTCTACACTCAAGCCTCCAGACCCTGGAGCAGCTTCACCAGCCCAGCGACCAAGTCAACATGACAAGGACTCGCTCGGAACCCCCCTGAGTGTCATTCCCGATTCTCAGCCTGAGCGAATTCCCCCGGAGCCAGTCGACTTGCAGGAGATTGCCCTTCCCCAACCAAGTCCAACACCTCGTCGCAAATCGACCGATACAAATGGCCTACCTCTTACGAAGCGAAGCCGTCTAGACTCCCTTCCACCAGCCAACGGTACAACACCCCCGGACGAGCATCTCAACAACCTCAGCCCACCAAACAACGACGCCGCCACCAAAGAAGCCGCACCCAAAACACACCAAGACACCACGACCTTACACCTCCCCCTAGAAATCAAACCAAACCCACCTCCCATATCAACAAACCCCTTCACAACCCACATAACCCCGACCTTAAAAATGCTCTCCACCCGCCTCAACCCTTCCCGCACATACACTCCCTTCCAACAAACCCGACCCCTCGACGACCTCGAAAGAGGACACTGGTACCTCCGCCTCAATCTCACCGACACCCTAAACCCAAAGCCACCCTCCAGCACCACCTGGGACATGCCACTCTTCACGCGCTTCTGGACCTTCCTAACGGATTTCATCGCGAAAGAAGGCCGCGCTGGCTGGGGCGTCTGGTGCATTCTGGAGGATGATGGCTCAGATAAACCCGCACCGTCGCCTCAGAATGGACTCGAGGATGGTGGGGTGGAGAAACCAACAAGACCAGTGAGTCTCAAGGTCTACGCATGGGGCGAGATAGCCTCTCATATATACCTGCTTTTATTCCTGGCGAGTGAGCGTCGCGTTCGCAGGATGGGACTGCAGTGGCGTGATAGTGCAGATGATGTCGTCATTCAGATGCCGTAGGAATCATGTTGGGTGGATGCTGTTCCCCAATACCTTTGGGAGGTTCTTTTCGTAGTATATAAACAATACTATACTCATGGAGCATCAGCGATGCGCTATATATGTACATAATCTTTCAAAATTACTGCTGTATCTGGACCTGTCATTCTGTATAGTACTACTTATAATTTCACGCGGAGTAGTACTTCTATAGAAATCGTAAGAGTACTAATTAATGGCTACTACTTTTGCGAATATGAATAAAAGCCCATTCGCTTTATCGAAGGTAGGTTACATCAGTCCAATGCGCTGAGAAAGACAACGAATGCAGGTGTAACTGGCCATATGTCATTGAGCTTATGGTACGAGAATATCGAGCTGATAGATAAGATAGATACTATGGTACAATCCGAGGGACGCCAAGACCAGAAAACGAAACGAAGGAAGCGAGTGAGAGAAAAGGGCATGCAGCTTTGGGTTTCGGCATCCCGGAAATAGTTGAGTAGCAGTCACAGAGCCAACTCGGGGCCGCATGAGGGCACAAGGAAACACGCCATATTCCGTATTGGAAAGAAAATTGGGCACAATCTCAGCCGAGCTCATGTTTCACGTTTGGATAGACGAGAAGCGTCGAGAAGAACGGTGAAAGGAGAAGGAAGAACCAAAGAAATCGGAAATTGATAGGAGACAATTTCGGCTCATGTACGAAAAGATGAAGAAGTATGACAGACACGGATCAATGCACGGCATATGCGGTGAGACATCAAGTATGTAACTGGCTTTGTGAAAATGCAGGAACGACAGACCAGTGAACGCCATTTGCACGGAGGAAATTTCTGTTATAGATGTCTAATAGTTCAACTCCCCGCTGCCAGAGCCACCGACCGCATCGAGATCCTCGTAGCTCTTGAGGCTGCGACCTTGTACGGCTTCGCGCGGACCCATGCCTTGCTGACCGGCACCGGCGTCAACAAAGCCGCTGGCCCCAACCAAGGCGGCGGCAGGGTGTCCAGGGGGGATGTATGGCGGTCCAGAACTGGCCGGCAGGCGACCACCAGATCCATACATGCTGGACATGCCACGGACGGGGCTCAGACGGCCGCTTCCAGTGCCGGGGGCGCCATGCCGATTGCCACGTCTGTCATAAGGACCTGATCGGTTATTATAACGCCCGCCGCCACGGCGCATGACGCCTGGTTGATGCAAACCTGGGCCGTCTGCAGACACCATTCCATTACCACTCCACGAGGGGTTATTAACACCCATAAATCCGGGTACCCCCGACCCTGGCACACTCTGGAAGCTTGGGGGGACATTTCCGCTGCCTGCAAGGTAAGGCGGCATTGACGCTAGGCTGAAACCACGTGGTGTACCGGTCTGGCCCTGACCAGAGTTGAGAGGGAAATGCCCGTTACTATTAGCGTCGGACCGCGAAGGAGCAATCCGAGCAGGGTCGAGAACGTAGGCATTGACCAGAGCGAGCTGTATCATCATGAGTATTCGTCCGCACGGAACACGTTAAAGAAGTATCACTTACATCACTGCGAATGTTCTCAAACCATTCGGTATGACGCTTTTCGACATGCTTACGCCAGAAATGCTCCGCCTTGAACAGCTTGGTGCATTCAGGGACTTTGCAGCGATACTTGGACTCATCCTCCTGCTTCATATACTTTGCGAGCTCTTCCTCCAAGGCGTCGTCAACGGGCTTGCCACCCAGCTTCCCGATATCGACATTCTCTGGCTCAAGGATCTGCAAGAGTTTGTCCTCGAATGTCTTGACCCAGTTGAATGCACGCTGAAGCTGTTGTTCGGTCTTGGAACTGAAACGCTGTGGCCGCTTCTCCTCCGACACAGGCGGCTGCTCCTCGCCCTCTTCACTAGGTTCCTTCTTTTTGACAGGGAACGGCTGCCCAAGAGCGCTAGCCCGGGCCACAGCCTTCGACTGTGTCGTAAGACCGGCCCGGGGTCGACGGAGATGTCCACCAGGGCATTTACGAGCAAGCTCATGCACAGAGTCACTCTCAAAGACACAGAAGAAACAGAAATTGTAAACCCGGCGAAGGTATTCAACCATCAGATCCAACTTCTTCTTCTTGGCCAAGAGCTCCTCATCATCGAGTTCGTCATCTTCCCATCCTTCCTGTTCTTCGCCCTCTTCTGCCTCGCCTTCATCAATATCATCGGCATCGTAGTCGGGCTTCCTCTTTTTGACACTGACAGGCCCCGTGACAGGCGGCTGAAGCCAGCCTTTGCCGCGCAATTCCTCGACTCGCTCTTCGATTTTGGAGAACCCGTCAGCACCTGCTCCCATCTCATCATCGAGCTTCGACACCAGTCTCCTTGCCAGCTCCAGGTCTCGTGAAATCCGCTCTGGCGACGAAAAGAGATCCCACAAGGCCTTCTTACGGGGTTGCGACGGCGGCACATGAACACCCACGTGGCAAACAAAGTCACCATGAACAGGATCATGGATCGTTTTGTCGTTGATTGCTTCAAGCGCCTTCTCGGCAGCAGTCTGTGTCCCCGATCCATTGGCCGCATGATCATGTTCCATTTCCTCACCCTCTTCCTCCCTTCCATCCCCCCTCTCGACGACCTCGACGTCAGGCGCAGGATGGAGCATGATCCATCCCATCCGATGGTATTTCTTCGACGGATTGGGGTCGCTGAGACTAAGCCACTTGAATCCACCATCTTCCTCACCCAAATGCTCCTTACAGAACTCTTCGATCTTCTCGCGGCTAACATTGGGCGCTAGAGTCTTGATCAAGAGAGCAGACTGAGACAGAGCTTCGTCACGCAAGTCACCGCCTCTTGCTGGGAGCAAATCCAGAACACCCAGGGTTTCACCAACCGCGGTGGTTTCGCCCTCTTCCTTCTCAATGACACCGCCTGCCCCGTCACTTTCACTCTTGTAAATGCCTTCAAGCGTGAACTCATCAAAGAGACCACTCTCGAGGTCTCTCTCCCATTGTTGATAGGCGCCCATGCGGAAATCCATCAGTTGACGACGAAGAGGATCCCTGACCTCAGGAACGTAGCGCTCTCTGAACCACTCCTCGTTTCGATGATGCTGGACGAAAGCACGGGCCATCTTCGCTTGAAGGTTCACCTTGTATGAATCGTAAGCCGCCTGGATCTGTGCTCTCTCTCTTTCCCGGTCTTCACGAGCCTCCCGCTCCCCCTTGACGCGATCAGAAGGACGCCGACCGCCGTGCTTGGCGCGTTCCTTTTCTTCTTTGATCGACTGCTCCGCGCGCCACCATTCGGCAAACCAATTGAAGCCCACTTGAAACTCCAGGGTTAAAGGGTTCGGAAGCGGATTGGTGGGAAGAGGGCGCTTGACAGAATCTTGTCCTGGGACATAGCGGTCGATGTTGGCAACGTTCGGCGAAGGCGCACGGCGACGGTCCTCGCGATCACGCCCGGCATGCTCCCGAGAGGCAGCATAATAGTCGTCTCGCGAGGCACGGCGATCAGAAGGTTCGTAGCGGTCGATCATAACGGGTGAGCGAGAACGACCGCGTGCTCGGCGTCGATCCTGAGATACTGCGTACGTACCAGTGGTTAGATTGAATGGCCATGACCAGTCCGAGAGCATCCGGATGGTAGTCTAGAAGCTAGAAACTTACCAGGTGACCTGCGACGGTATGAGTCCAGTGGGACCCGAGAAGCATAGGGATCGCCAGCTTCCCGGCTCCTGCCGGGGGACCCGTAACTCTCATATGAGTCCATGGGGACGAGGTTATGCAAAATCGCGTCGACCGGAGCTCTTGTAGGTTGTAACGGAGAAAATCGGAGCCAGCTACCAGACAATGGCCGAGGGTCGCGCCCAGGACGGTAAGGACAGAAGGCGTAAGCTAAGATCCGAAATGATCAACATTAGAGCAAGTCCTTCACGTGTGTAAAAGTGCCGGGTGGGTTGGACGTTGACGAAGCAGGGTTAGGGGGCGAGTTGGGCAAGAAGAAGATGCAAATGAAGCTGGTTGCCGGGGGCCGGCCATGGAAGAGATAGACAAGGCATGATTCTGGATAACGATGACAAGGGCGAACCCGGAAACTGAGAAGATGAAACGCAAGTGCGCTCGCGAGAGCCAAGAGAAGACGAGAGAAAAGAGAGGGCACAAGGTAGACAATAGAGAGTAGTTAATCAATCAGCACGGAGTGTGGTGCGAGCCAATAATGGCGCGACGATAAAAGGAGGGAGTCCAAGATGAGGTTTTGAGTAAAGAAAAAGAGACGGGATGAAGCACAAGTGAGGCGCGGATCCAAGTGAATTGGATGGATGACAGGGGAAGGTTGGACTGAGATAATTGAGCAGGGGCAAGGGGACGATGAGAGACAAGGGCGCTGCAATGGAATTGACTGAACACGATAGAGAGAGAAGAGAGATAATGAGAGAGAGGATTGAATGGCAAGGCAGGCGACCTACAAGAGAAGCCTTAAGAGGAGAGAATTGGAGATCCAACGAGATGCGAAGATGATGGACGGAGTACTAAGTCCAATCCGAGCTGAGCAGATCAGACAATATAGACGGAAACCGCAACAGACCGGGACTAATCACCGGGCAAGGCGTGATGATATATAAAAGGAAGTTTTGTGGGGGAGTCAGAGGGAGAGGAGAGAGAGAGAGAGAGAGAGAGAGAGAGAAGAAGAAGAAGAAGAAGGGAAGGAGGAGAGAAGGCGAGAGAGGGAAGGGAAAGCAGCGAAGGAGAGAGACAGGATTGGGGAGTGAGGCTGGAGCGCCGGAGAAGGGAGTCCCGCCTAGTCCCGACCGGGCATAGCGCCCCCGGGTTGCCTTTTGGTCGCCGCTTCGTCAAATAATCAATAACATTGGAGATACATTTATAAAAGGGTGTGTACGCCTCGTCTCTCATTCCCCCTAAACAGGCTTATAGCAGGCAATTGAAAGAAAGTCATCTCACTCACCTGGCATCTCGGATTCCTGAGTTTCAGGGTAATCAGACTCTTTAGCAATTTGATGCTGGTAAAACCATGCCAACAACGGGTGGCAAATAGAGACGAGGGAAGCCCTCGGCTCAGTCGCAGCTATAGATTGAACCACCAAACTGGGAGAAATGGGAAGATCGAACCAGCATGGATCTGGGGGGGCAGGATTGAGAAGAGGAGCAATACGAAGCCTGCCTTACGATGAATACAGTGCACATCCGTCAGCATCATCTATCTCGGAATTCACTGTACCAATTTCACTCCCCTCTTACTTCATCCGAGGCAAAGTGAAGACTCGCGGCCTGCTAACTCTATTCTACTCAAAGCACTCACACCGTAGGGACCTGCTCTAAGGTCAGGCCACGAGAACAAGGCAAGCACGACTAAGAACGAGTTCGCCAAGTATGTCTTGATATTTGTACACGACTAGTAGGGGAATCATCCGTTGAAGATCAGGGTAATATATCAAACGAGGCATCAAAGGGGGCAACAGAGAAGGGCAGGAGGAAAACAGGTATCGGCTGTGACAGCCCAAGACCACCACAGCCTCGCATGTCAGACCACACTCGTCGATGCAGATTCAAAGAGAGTGGAATCGCATGGGGCCTCGCAGCCGCACCGAAGACGGAAAGATCCCAAGTCACATTCATGCACTACCCCAATGGCACAAACAGTCAATTGGGGTGTTTCATAAAATGCACGGAATGAAGACCGTCGTCGAATTCTCCCGTCGGGAACATTCCATTTCCAAACAACATACCCCAGAGAAAGGCGACCGTCGGACAGTGCCCAGTGTTTCGACTTTTGCTGGGCAAATACGCGACACCGAACCAAGACATGCGTGCACCATCCACCGCCAAGGGATGTAGGCTCTGTCGCCGCGCCACCCAACCTCGGGGTTTAATTTTACCAGCGATGGGCTTCAATCTAATACCAACCAAGGCCCGAAGCACGACGCAAAAGAACGGGTCCGGATCAAAGCGGCGGACTCAGGCACAGGGGAAGAAGGAACACAGTACACCAAAGTTGCCAATGACATTGAGTTGCTTGTCGACAAGGGAGCTTGACGAGAAGACATATAAGAAGGCTGCCGCCAGCTGTGAAAACCACGACCTTCAGGTATTAGAGACCGGGTCATGCAGCATCGACAGTGGGACGAACGTAACAATTCATGAGTTTGAGAATCGTGCACCATCCCGAGAAATGAAAAAGAAAATAACAAAACATAATCATCTCATACATGCAATCCTAACAGGCTGAACATCGTTAGATGAAAGGAAATAGGAAAATAGTAATAATACTTCGTGCCAGCATAACAATATAAACAGACATAAAAGTTTCAAACGGATGAAACGAGGCGTTTCCGACGAAACCAGAGGGAGGTGGGAATAACGTCAATAAGTACGAGAGAAGATGGGGCAGTTGCGCGTCGCTCGCTGCGGGGAGTAAAGGTCAAGGAAGACGGGGGTAAAAGAAATTCCAGACATCCATCCATCATAAAGGGCTATTGTGGGTAAGCAGGATTTTCGCAAGACGATCCTGGAGTAAGGTACCGCTCAACCATCCTCGTCGGACAGCTCAGCAGATTCGTTCTCGCTTTCGTCCGCACTAGTGCTCGGTTTCGCACTGGTTTTCGTCTTTTTAGACGAGTTGATGGTGTCATCGTTGACATCACTTGATTTTCGTTTCTGTGCAGAAGGCGGGTTATCGCCAGGAGGTTTCACCGCATTATCATCAGCGGCTTCAAGCCCAGAGGTCGTAGATCCGGATGCTTGCTTCTTCTCCATAGCTGCCACTTCGTCAGCCGTTAAGAATCGCCCGCCGGGACCACGAGGGCGGCGCATGGCATGGTTGTGACGCGATTCGTGCAGATATGGCTTACGGCCCTTGGACGTGAGCCGCAATTGCTCCTCCAGTTTTTGGCGAGCCACTCGTCGTTTCAGGATGCGATGAAACTGCTTCGCGTTCACGTATAACGGCGATTCCTCAGCGGCGCCAGCGACCATATCCGGCGAAGGTTGGCTCTGCTGGACAGGCGGCTGAGGTGGTGGCGGCATAGATGGGGGCACCGAAGGCCGGCCGGCATGGTTGATAAGTGGTTGGGCATTCTGAACATGTGGGCTACTGACATGGCTCATGCGACGTTGCTGCATCTGGGCGTTCTGGGACATCTGTACCTGGGATCCCATCGATGGCATCTGGCCAGGAATCTGGGGTGGAGAACGAGGATTGCGGTCACTCTTGACCTGCACCCCAGCCATGCGCGGCGATCCGCGGGGACCAGGAGCCATCTGGCCAGCCATCGAATCTTGATGTAGAGGATAGAACTGGCCCGATGCTGCAGCGGTGGCCATTGCAGCCGCTTGCGTAGGGGAGATACCATACGTTTGTGGCATCGCCGTGGTGACTCCATACGACTGAGGGAAGTTCATTTGCTGATGTACAGAGCCCGGGGCATTTTGAGCAGGCTGATAATGAGATTGTGAGGGAACAATTGGTGACGCTTGATGTGTAGCGTGAGCTTGTTGCATGTGCGCTTGAGGGTTGGTGGGAGAAGTCATCGATCCCACCGTGGACCCAGCATTTTGAGGAGCCGTCTGATACGGGGCAGTGATGTGGGAAGAGGCGTGGGGATGCTGGCCATGAGGCTGTTGATACTGCGGCGGGTATTCCATCATGGAGCTGCGACGGGGTTTACCGTCAGACTTCCAATTAGAGTCGTGATTGGAGTACCCTGGCTGTCAGGAACCAGGAGTCTAGGACCAATAATACGGCCAAAGATGGGCCAATCCCAAGGGATTTCACTCGTCTGAGACCGAAGTGGCGAAAATAAGGGAGAATGATAGGTTGTCAACAACACAGTTGCACTTGACAATATCACCGTCGTGCACAAAGGAAAGGCGGTTGTTTACTGATTCGACGAGTGAACTGCGAAAGTCTGCAGGCTCTGGTTCATAGTGTCAGCATGGAGCGCAGCGCCAAACGGTCACTGGATTGCGGGTGGGGGTTGGATGGGAACAGAGGAAGGGCGCTTACACCGGGGGCGCGTACCTCTGTTTTTGTTTTGCCAATACACCCACTCATCAACTTCTGGCGTCAAGAAAATTCGCCCAAAGGTGAACGCTTGTTTGCCGAAATGCTTCAGCCCGCTTTTTCCGGAGGTTCTGCGTCTTTTTGTGGAAATCTTACGTTCGCCTCCAAGTGTAACGTGGTTGGGCTTCGATGCAGGGAACCAGGATGTCCTCGACAAGATGTCGCACTTGATGCGTTGTCAGACAAAGCGCGATCTTCTTGATAATGGCGCTCAAGTCTATCACAGACACAAAGACTACGCAGTATAAGGAGACGACAACTGGCAGGCTACCTGGGTAATGCTGCTCAGTTCCTAAATTCGTCAGGCTGCTTGGCCACGTTCGTATGAGGCGGTGCTAGAGCAACCTGGTGAGTTAGTTCGCCTGGGCCCGGGAGTTTGGAATTATCCTGGTCCGCGGTCTCCCGAACTATAATGCCACTCGACGCTGTCGTCAGGGTACGCCTGAGAGGGGCTTGCACGGCTCAGTGGACTACAAAAGACTATTAGCATCTATCTTTCCCACCATCCCGAAACTTTCGGCTCCTGATTTGTGCGCTGTCACGATTGGAGGAGAGAGGGGGGGGATAGGAACTGTCAATTTGATGGTGGTGGGGGGGGGGGTAAGGTAGGAGGGGGGGAAACATCGTGGCGGTTTAGTCTTTTCAGGGCTGAAGGATGTATGCGTTGGCAAGTGGAATCATGATGCAGCCGGCAACATACCTTGTTCAAAAGCGACGCACTCGCGACCCCAAACAAGGGTAGGCGGAGTTTTGCGCGCGCGCGCAAAAACGACACTTGAAAACAGGGAATCAAACAGCCGTGACGGAGCTATTCTGCAGTCTCCGACCGTAGTAAATCGATGCGCGCCTATTGACAGGTCATGGTGTTAGATAGCTGTCAGAGAAGGGCAAAGGCAAGGATTGACGCGTGGTGATTGGGCCATCATGGGGTGGGGAGTCGGGGTTGCAACTGAAACGCGACAAGAAAACATAACAATGCATAAGCCATAGCAGAAGCTCACAGGGACCGGGGATGATAGGATGAGTCGCAGAGGGTCTTGCGTGCAGTACTTAGAGTACATGCGACACTAAATCTAATGGTTTGATTTGCTTTTGAAGGTGGGTAACGCCAGCCATAACTTTGGGGGGGGAGGAGCAGCAGGAGGGTGGGCAGTAGGGAATCACAGCGCTGTCGCGGTTTGCGGGCCGCGGCCAGAGAGGGAGCCAAGAACAACAACAGGCGGGCTTGCCTCGTGGTTTGAAAAGGTTAATTACCTTTTATCAAGGGTTATTCTCCGCAGGTGGCAGAAAAGCCTCCAATGCAGAGCAACACAGAAAGGCGACTCGTTGTAATGATTTGACGAGGGCTTTCAGTCACGAGGGAAGGAACCTGTGATGATTCGCGGGGCGATGGCAACGCGACGAAGCTCTGCCAACGAGAGAAAGGCGGACAGGCAAAAGGGAAGGTCCGTTTCTTTCACCGCACGGTAGGCTGCCGCTGATGTCAGTCCGGCCCGGGTTGATCCGCGACCGAAGCGGCAAAACAAAATGGGAAATGATAAAAACACAATGACGGAGGGGTATATGGGTATATGGAAAACAGAAGGGCGCATGCATAAGAATAAACCACAGAAATAGAGCGAATAGAATAAACGGGAAATTAAAAATAAAATCAAGAAGTGGAGTGGTTCGGAGAACAAAGCAAAGAATTCAAAAGGAATAATCCAAAAGACCAAAAATAGACTAGAATCAGTGGAGAGGGCTGTAGCTTATGGTCATAGCCACTAGATGTTTGGACAGCAGAAAGCAGATGCACCAGACAAACAATGGAAGTAACAGACAACTGATGGAGCGGGGGTGGGAAAGAAGAGAGTGAGTGAGTGAGTGAGTGAGTGAGAACCTCCAATGAATTGTGAAGATCCGGCCTCGGTACAACAAAGAATACAAATGATTGGGCGCGCGTCAAAATAAAGTATGCAATCACAAAATAGGAAAAAATACAAAGTTGAGCAAGGGGCAGCAGCAGCAGCAGCAGTAGGTAGTAGATAGTATAAGATGGCTAAAAACGTACCTTAGATGATGATTCGACCACAACCGTGGTAATGACAGAAAGGGAGGATGGAAAATGATCAATCACGAGAGTGAAGCGGATGGGGTGGGAAGGAAGGGAAAGGCGGGCAGTGATTGGGTTGGACAAGAGCAGACGGGTTAATCTGAAGCCAGCCCAAGCAAGCAGCGAGTAGGAAAAAAACAAATTGGGAGGAAACCAATGGGCTCTGCGCAGCCAGGACAGTCCGACGTTGTTGACTGGAGGGCACGCAAGGACTGGAGAGGTTGGATGACCAACGAGAGGGAGCAGAGAGAGAAAGCCGCAGCGAGAAGAAGGGGCGAGCGATGGGGCATTTGTACCGGACGCGCTCAGAGGGTAGCTGAGTGGCTCGGCAGCTCGTTAGCGGACAAGGCGGCGAGGATTCAGACCAACAAAGGCCACGACCATACTGTCCGGTATCGACCCCAGGGTTCGCTCCACTTAGCGTCTGCGCTCTTTGCCCTATTGGGTATGGAGTGTATTGTACCCCCGTCTTGTATGGTCATTGTATCATCCGTCTTGTATGGTATCTTTCCACATCCTTTTTTTTTTGAGTACCAGTCTTTTTTTTCAAGGTGAGATAGATGATGATGGGATGGTGGTGGATGGCCGGGAAACTTTGGGGTCGAGGACACACCACACAACTCTCTCTTACAGACTTACTTAGTTCTTCTCTCTCTGTCTCTCCGTGCCGCCGGGCCCAGCTTGCTCAATCTCGGTTCTTCACTCTCTATCACAAAACCAACCTCCACTATTCCCTCCCCCCCCCCCAAATCCCCCTTCCCTCTCTTTCTCTCTCTCTCTCTCTCTCTTTCTCCAATTTCCCAACCCGTTTTTGGGGAAATTGACAATGGGTTGAGTAAGAGTATCACATCTCACCCTCAATTCTCACTCGTGGCCTCAAAATTACATCCCAACCCAGAAAATCAAAAAAAAGAAATATAGCTAAAAAAAAAAAAATCATTTCTTATCTAAGATAACCACCCATCATAACTACTTACTTTACTATGCAAAGCATCCGGCCATCCCGAATTCGTGATGTTCATCATGTGCAACCCAAATCTGGCGAATCGCCCTCGGGAATAAAACCTGTATGACCCAAGGTCAGCTCGACCAGCCACCCCCCATTGGTCCAGCTAGGCTTTCTTTGGTTTTGTTTTGCGAATCATGCTTTTACATTAACCAGATGGCTTATGTGACTGGCTTCGATTTGCAATCGCTGTCTTTCATCATTTCTTCTATTCTTACTTTTTCTCCTACTTGCGTTGTTGTTCCCCCCCACCCTGGACGGGAAAAGCAGTAAGAAAGGCTGTTCTTCTAACGCAGATTTTTGTGCTCGGCCTTACGGAGTAGAAAACGAAAGAATAAGGTGAAACGGCTCAATGCGCAACAAACGCAGATGCCACCTCGAGACGCGAAACATAAAAAAAACAAAACAGGGAACGGGCTGAATGAAGTGGACAGGTAGGATTGGAAGAAACAATAATATAAAATATAATAAAATAAATAAAAAAAAGTTTAAGATGAAATTTAAAATTAAAAGAAAAAAGAAAAGAAAAGGAAGGAAGACAAGCGCCGTGCTATCACACTGACTGACACTTTACTAATGCATAATGCAGTTTCTTGCCATGGGATCACATTGTTGTTTCTACGCAGGAAGCGCGGCTCGATTCTTGCTTTTCTTACGTACGCGTCGAATACCCCCAAACGTCAGCGGAGTCAATCGAAGCCACGGCCAGCCTCGGTTATATGACCAATCTAGGTAAGACTCCCTGGGAATCTCCATTTCCCTTGTGGCAGGTAGATAGCGGGCAAATATCAGCCGGTACGAAATGAGCGACATTGATGTCTTAGGCTCAGCACAGTAATTGTTGATGGTTTCCTGCATAACTTGTAGATGGAGTAAAGTCACAGTGGCCAGTCTGCTCATCTTTCAGAAAAAAGATTAGCCACCTATAATTCATTTCCCGAGATTGCGACCAGTGTGGACTATAAGTATATACTTTTAGCGGGACTAAATAAAGCATCAACTAATGTAGTAGTAGGATGACACGATATATATATTTATAATCGTATCCGACATCCATCACTACTTAACCACCATTGTGCAAATCTCTTGGCTACTGTTTTAGTACTACTAAACCTCAGCTGTTTACTACAAATGTTGAACTAATACAAAAGCTGGAAAATTAACGAAGCGACGCTAGCATCACTCTTCGTAGTGTTTCTTGAGGTCAAGTAGTCAGGATATTCAGTTGTCGCCGGCTGAGGTCAAGTGACTTACAGAGACCTCTCATCAAGTGTTAGCGTTATTAGATTTACACAGTGAAAATGGTATATTACCCAGATGTACGAGTAGCCTACCGCAGATTGAATACTGCGGATTAAGCCGCCTGTTTTCTTTTTTCGGGTTGTAGTGAACTGGTATCCATGTCCCAGTATATTTAAGGTGAATTCGAGGGACTAAGCCATTGAGTCTGCTTAATTTGACGAGAGAAAGGCAGGCGAAGTGGTATTTGACCGTCACAGTAGATTAGATAGTTTAAAATTACCATGGTATTATTTAAGTCATAAGGTGGATGTTGCACAAGAAAAGCCTTATAGACGCTACTAAGACCAAGGGCCTTGCACGTGTCGTAGCCATGACGAATGTCTCTCTTTCTTCTTCCGAGATACGGACTTCTTATCCATCCCTCATAATGGCTGTCAGGAAGTACGTACATATCTAAGCGAAAGGAGGATCTATAGAGTCGTTTACTATCAGAATGAGTTCCCTTCTTGAAGACTGACCGGCACGATGGCAAAGCAGATTGGGCGTCGATCTGTTCCACTCCACGTGTTGAAGCTTGACCGCTTGGGTCTTCGGATGGAGACTCATCAGTCTCACAATTTATCTGTGCACTTTCATGATCTTGCATCAACTAAACCATCACAATATACTTTATGGAATTCTTTTAAAGCCAGAGGAGCAGGTTCCTCAGAATGGCAGGTTATATAGCAGCAACAATATCCTCCAATTGCTTGTCTTGCTTTAATCTCTTGCTCTCTCACCTGAATGGACTGCGCGGAAGGCGGCAAGTACCGGCGTATCTAAATACAGCCCATCGCGTATGCGGACCGTACAAACATACGTGAACGGAAACGCGATTACGGCATGTATATGGAACGTCCGTAATTTGGGTCGGTCGAACTCTCTCAGCACTGACTGTCATGGGGGAAGCTCGAGCCATCTGACGTCAAAGTCAACTAGCCTTTCCCCGCCACACCGCTCCTCGTCGACATTTCAGTATGAATTTAGAAATTCTTTTATTTTCTATCCCCTCCGGCAGGCTCGTTTTGATGTGCAATGTTACAGGAATGCGTCGGCGATCTGATCTAGAAGGATATCCTCGTCTCTGTCGCTCAGAGATGTTGTTTTAGCCTGATCTATACTTTCTTAAATGACCAATTACGTATTTCTTGTGTCAATTCTCTCTCAGATTTTCCGTGAAATTGTAGTTGTATCGGAAGGCAGTGCGGTCCGTGGAAGTACCATGTCACAGCCTAAGGCACTAACAGGCGCCGAGGCTTTGTGAAGGTCCCACTAACCATTCCACCGGGAACTTCTATCTACATATTCATCTACGAATGAACTCGCTTGCCTCCCCTCGATGATGGGGCATCCTTATGGTAACTTATATGTCTTCCGTGTGATGAACACGCTTCAAGCAATATATCCTCTCATCAATTGCTATGTGCTACAAGCTAACCTCTCTCAGTGAACAACTAGGCGGCTGCCTTTTGATGTGTACATCATCCAACCTGGTAAGCGTTGCTTTCGAGTTCCTGCTCCTACGGAGTAAGTATAGCTCGTTTGCCTCATCTCTTCTGGCCTTCTACCTCACTGTCCAACTTAGGTGACTGTATGGCTTGCAGTTAAAGAACGCATGAAGACCGATATCGACCGATTTTCTTCGTGGCTGGAAATTGCCTTCCACATAATTCCTATTGCAACCCCATGCGAGTGAACCCAGTGTTGCACTAAGTGAACCAGGAATATGTATGACCCTTAATCCAGACTTTTCTAGCAGTATCATTCAACCCGGAGGCGCTTGATGTGACAGCTAACGATCTCAAGTGACATAGACTTGGTCAATCACTACTACAAGCTTACTGATCCGTACATGAAACTCATTCTCCTGGCAGCCAAGAGCATCTTGCCACTTTGGTTCTAGGATAAGTGGGAGTGTCCAGAGATTGAGAGACCTAGGGTAGCACTAGGGGCCCCTATACTCACGTATGCGCCATGATCAACTATGGAGAAGCAGATTAACCAACACAACAACAGGGGTGGGTTGCAAGCGCACTTCATCCATGACAATACAAACGGGTTGTTTGGAAAAACAAGCCAAGAAGGTATGGTTATCGACTTTTACTGAAAAGTTGCTGTCATAATGATCACGGGGCATACCTGTGCTCCGCCAGCAGCTAAAGGGCATTACACCCCTTTTGAAATGTCCTGCGACATGCTCTCACAAACGGTTTGTGAACGTCATTTACCTCCGTGGGATACATCTTCTCCAAGACAATCATGTGCAGATCTCATGATATGGCTTGCTCGGCTGTCCTCCGAGGTATAAGAGCATTCTCAGCATTGACCGGCGACTGATCAATCGAATAAAGAACCGAAGATGGGACGCAAGGAGAAGCAGATTCTTCACGGTCTTTGGTTGCGTCGGGGTTGTAAGTATCAAAGTCCGTCGCAAAGCGCGGGGCTTTACGATAGCTGTTGTCCCCTGACCTTACGTTCTGTGCCGTCCCATCCATAAGATCAGCGGCTACGCAGTGGACGACGTGGCTTACGGAGCTTGCCTAGACCAGTTGACGCTATCTGCGGACTGAATACCGGTTACAGGTCCTCGAATGAAACCAATTTTACGCCAACCCAGGTTGTCTCATGTATGCAGTGGAGGCCTCAGAAGCACGGCCTGTGAGCACTCAAAGGGCCCCTTACACATTGCTATCATCAGACCGATGTCATAACATCACACAGCGAATGGCCAGGTTAAACAGCGGTAGCCCTGGCCTTTGCAAGGGGCAAAGGAATGGACAGGAAGATCTCGTCCAGTGCGAGCACCCAATAAGACATCCGTACGCCCTCTCGCTCCTCAATAGGGCAATTTCTCAATGTGACGGATGCTGCTACTGCACCTCGTTAATTGGCTACCGTGGCCTTGATTCAAACCAGGCCATGCAGTCTCGGTCCTTTTGGGGCGTATTCCTGCGTTACGATCTGTCACCACCAGCTCTTCTGGGAACCCCATTAGGCAGCCTGGAAATTGATAGCAATCTGTTTTTCAGATGAAATCCAGTGCGCCAATTTCTTGTCACACGGACGGCCACCTCCTTAAGCGCTGTATTTCGTGATTTTCTCTGAGCTGGCGTTCGGATTTCATGACACTGTTGTCGGAAACCCCGAAATTACAGATTGCTCTAATTCACTCACTAAACAGATTCCTTCGTGACAATTTAATCACTCACCAATCTCGAATACCTGCTGATAACAGGGCAGGCTCCCACTTTTTTGCGTATTGCTCGGTAAGATTCGATAGGTATACGCTCTTTGCGTCCCATGCACAACAGGTATGACGGACAAAGTACCCACGGCTTGGAGAACACAAATCTGTCGCACATTATAGGCTTGACATCAAGCCAGTAACGAGTAATAAACGACACACTAACGTTGAAGTCAAAAAGAGAGCGGGAGAGTCTCCGTCGCTATTCCTACTGCTGGGCCCATCCGGCGGATAAATTAAGAGAAGAAACCATATCAACGATGTAACAAGGAATCTTCCAAAACAGACACTCCGGCCTGGGATAACTTTATCTCATTCAAGAAAAGACTTTAACGGCACTTTTCCTGCGGGACAAGCGAAAGTCTTTTTTAATGTACACTGGCAGTAGTAAGACCGTGGTGGTCCCATCCCCCAAACCCTCCCAGTTGGGCACTTAGGTACCAATGTACCTTCCTACCTATGAGATACATATTCTATGGCCTATGTACACCCGTTAACAAAGAACCGGCACTGATTGGGTACCAACACTGTCTTTCGTCATAAGTTGATTGACACCGACACTTTCCGCTGGCTACATGGCCATGTCTTACAGGTCCATCTTCCGGTCCACCGCAGACTGCCAGTTGTTCGTGCAGTTCTCGACCAAAACCTACCCACCACCATCATCACCCAATATACTAGGCTATCCCGTCGTCCGGTACTCGCTATAAATTGCTCAGCAGTATCAAAATACCTTTTAAAGAGGTTTTGTGGCAGACTATTGTCGGTGATAGTGGGATGCTACATAAACGCAACAATCAACGAAATTCTACAAAACCTCGGCGAGAGAGAAAGGCTAACACTCAATTAACTAGGTTCCCCGACATGCGAACTTCATACAAAACCATGGCTTCACGCGTGACATCCTGAGACAAACGCAAACGCATCCGAACGAAACCGAGCTAAAGTCAGAATCCTATTCCTCCAAAATGGGCGTCGATTTTCCTTGCCAGATACAGTGCGATTAGAGATGTGGCAGTGCTGGGGAATCAACTGGGAATTTCATGGTCGCCTGTGCCATACTACTAAGCGATGTCAGCAGGGTTCCGGGTAGCTGCTCCTCGTGTATGCAGATAGGCCGATTGGGCTCCCATCCACCCTTGAATTTCCAGCAGTGGAAAGTTTATACCGATTAATAATACATGGGTGGTGCCCGAAGAACTTTCGATAATGCGGGGTTATTTGAAACATGGGCTATGCAAACGCGCCTGGTCGGGATGGATATTAGAACTACTGTGTGGGTGTGAGAGAAGGAATTTGGGTAGGTTAATCAAATGGAGAAGAAGTTGTTTCGGTTTAGGAGCTGAACTGGTCTAGAGGCTTCTATGTAGGAAGCAAATGGATCGCTCAATAAAATCCTTGTCTCGTCGTGTGAGAATGGTGGGCAGACAAGAAAATGTGGCTTTTCTCGAGCTCATATTCTTATCTATATGACAGCGGATGTGTACCATGGCTCTGGACGAGGGGAGGCAGACTGTGCTGGAGAGCGGAATAGGCTATAGCCCGGTGCTATGGACACCGGCACCCGCATGTAACCCCGTACTTATATAATCTGTAGCGAAGGAGGACGATAGCCAGCAGAGATGTTCCAGAGTTAATGTTTGGATCTATCAAATCCTATCTAAGAAGTACTAGACTACCAACCTCTGGCCCTGCTAATCAGTGGATGGAATCACTGGGACCGGGCGGAGAAGCTTGCTGCAGAACCATCACCGGGGGACCTATTGCAGAGCCACTGCTTCGTGAATCTCAAGATCGATCAGATACTTTATGTCCTCTGAAGCGAATCAGGAGCTTGAGCAGGCCGATGGAGAAAAGTGTGCCTGCATAACAGTGCAGGGTGAATGATGACCGAGAGAGAGAGAGCATCCACTCAGTGGCAGGAAAGGGACAATGAATGGAAGAGGCTTGATGAGTCCGGAGTAAATACCGGGGCTGCTGATTGGCTGACCCGGGACACGGGACTGATTACGTGATCCGCCTCGAACCCGCCCTTTCGATCCCTCATGTGGCTTTTCCCCGTGCTTGGGGCAAGGAGAGAGCGAGAGCGACCGAGTCGGCCTATCTTCCGCCTCCTCATTTTCAATCCCTTCACCTTCTGCTCGACCCAGACGATCCTGGCAACCCCTTCTAGCGGTCTGGTTGCGCTACAGACGACCGTCAACTCCCACCGCTCCCGTTATCATCGTGATTTCCCCCCTTTAGAGAACGCGCCGGATTGTCCGCCCGCAGAACCCCCCCCCCGATATACATGACGTCTTTGTTGACATCCGTTTCAGACCGTCAATTCGCCAGTAACACTTTACTACAATAACTCAACTAGCATTGATCCAACTGCCGCGAACAAGGAACACATCAGCTTGCACTATCCGATAGAGCGGCGCTCCTCGTAGCGTTCGCGACTCGCGTTTTTCGCTGGTGTCGGTTCACCCCCTTGCGATCCTTCTTTCAAACACGCGGAACCAGGCGATCGGACCCAGGTGTATGGGGAGGAAGCAAACATGGCTGGTGGAGGAAATATCAAGGTGGTGGTGAGAGTGCGGCCTTTCAACAGCAGAGGTGAGTGACTTGTGGCATTGGAAATGCGACCAAGCCCCCCCTCCTAGACTGGACTGACCCCGGTGTCCCGCTTTCTAGAAATCGACCGTGGTGCAAAATGTATTGTTCAAATGAAAGACAACCAAACCGTCCTTTCCACTCCACCGGGTGCCGATGATAAAGCCCGCAAGGCAGGGGGAGGGAAAGGCGGGGATGGAGGACCAAAATCATTCGCCTTCGACAGATCGTATTGGTCTTTCGATAAAAACGCCCCGAATTTTGCGAGCCAGGATAACCTCTTTCTCGACTTGGGTGTACCGCTATTAGACAATGCCTTTCAGGGTTACAACAATTGTATCTTCGCCTACGGTCAGACGGGTTCCGGAAAATCGTATTCCATGATGGGTTACGGCAAAGAATACGGTGTGATTCCGAGAATTTGTCAGGATATGTTCGAGCGCATTCGCACAATCCAGCAAGACAAGAACCTCGGCTGTACGGTGGAAGTCTCGTATCTTGAAATCTACAATGAGAGAGTCCGTGATTTGCTCAACCCTTCGAATAAGGGCAACCTTAAAGTCCGTGAGCATCCGTCGACTGGTCCCTACGTCGAGGATCTGGCCAAGCTTGTAGTGCGCTCTTTTGAGGAGATTGAGAACTTGATGGACGAGGGTAACAAGGCTAGAACCGTTGCTGCCACAAACATGAACGAGACCTCCAGTCGTTCCCACGCCGTGTTTACGTTGACCCTCACACAGAAGCGCCATGATGCGGAAACGTCTATGGATACGGAGAAGGTGTCGCGCATTAGTTTGGTCGATCTTGCAGGTTCGGAAAGAGCAAATTCTACTGGTGCGACCGGTGCGAGACTGAAGGAGGGTGCGGAAATTAACCGTTCGCTGTCGACCCTTGGTCGTGTCATTGCCGCTCTCGCTGACGTGGCGGCTGGCAAAAAGAAGAACGCATCAATGGTTCCGTATCGTGATTCTATATTGACATGGTTGTTGAAGGACTCGTTGGGAGGTAACTCCATGACAGCAATGATTGCTGCGATTTCACCCGCCGACATCAACTTCGAGGAGACTCTCAGTACTCTCCGTTATGCAGACTCGGCGAAGCGAATCAAGAACCATGCCGTTGTGAACGAAGACCCCAACGCACGAATGATCAGAGAGTTAAAGGAGGAGTTGGCCCAACTCCGGTCGAAACTTGGGGGTGGTGCCGCAGGTCCTGGAGCAGGCGGCGCTGCTGGCGCTATACCAGCAGAAGAATATTACCCTCCAGATACTCCTCTAGAGAAGCAACTCGTCTCCATACAACAGCCGGATGGTTCAGTTACGAAAGTCAGCAAGGCAGAAATCGTCGAACAGTTGAACCAGAGCGAGAAGCTTTACAAGGATCTGAATCAAACTTGGGAGGAGAAGTTGGCAAAGACTGAAGAGATTCACAAAGAGCGAGAGTCTGCTCTGGAGGAACTTGGTATCAGCATCGAGAAAGGTTTCATCGGATTGAGCACGCCGAAGAAGATGCCACATTTGGTCAATCTGAGCGACGACCCGCTGCTCGCCGAGTGTCTCGTTTACAACATCAAACCCGGAACCACCATAGTCGGAAACATGGACCAGGGCAGCCATGTCGAAATAAGATTGAACGGCTCGAAAATCTTGGACGATCACTGTAGGTTTGAGAACGTGGACAATGTTGTTACCATTATTCCCACCGAAGGCGCAGCAGTCATGGTGAATGGATTGCGGATCGATAAACCGAAGCGGCTCAAGAGTGGATTCCGCATTATCCTGGGTGATTTTCATATCTTCCGTTTCAACCATCCCCAGGAAGCGCGTGCTGAACGAGTTGAACAGAGCTTGCTGCGTCATTCCGTCACCACAAGTCAACTGGGCTCACCGGCACCGAACAAAACCCATGATCGAACCCTGAGTAAAACAGGCTCCGAGGTGGACGGCGATTCGAGCAGAGCGGATTCTCCGATGCCCTCCCAGCGCGGTAGGGAATCCGATTGGTTTTATGCTCGCCGTGAAGCTGTCAGTGCGGTGCTGGGGCCCGATCAAATCTCCCATATGCCTGACGATGAGCTGGACGCCTTGTTCGAGGATGTACAGAAAGTGCGGGCAACTCGTCGTGGACTAATGGAGAACGAGGAAGACTCCGATTCGCTCAGTTCGTTCCCTGTGCGGGATAAGTACATGTCCAA